CATGACGTGAAATCTGCTGAGTTCAAAACCGTCATCACTTTTACCTGAGAGAGCAGGTGAAGCTGCAGGTCACATTCCTGTCAGGGTCAGGAACGTACACACCTCGAACATCTCACAAATACAGGACGACGTAGATCCATAAATACTGCCCTGACCTTTGACTCTGTTCGAAAATGTAAAATATGTTATTAAAGTTATGCAATAAATGAACACCAAAAAATAACTCCAAACTAAAGCACGAGGCGATGTATCCATCTGTCGTGACGTCGCCCCGTGTTTGCGTTTTCTCTTTTTTTTTAGATTTTAATATTGATTTTGCTACTGTGAAAAATAAGATGTTCAAAAATTAAAAAAATATTTTTTTATAAAAAAATTTTTTTATAAAAATATTAAAATCTAAAATTAAAATTTTAGATTTTAACATTGATTTTGCTACTGTGAAAAATAAGATATTCAAAAATTAAAAAAATATTTTTTTTATAAAAAAAAATTTATAAAAATATTAAAATCTAAAAATTAAAATTTTAGATTTTAACATCGATTTTTCTACTGTGAAAAATAAGACATATTAAGAAAATAAGAAAAATTGAAAACAATTGAAAAACAATGGTTTCAGGAGGAAAGAAGGACATCGTTTTTAAAACCCAATAGCTCGTGTTGCGTTTACGTTTGTTAGAATACACCAAGATGATCAGAAAGTATGCAAATAAATCCTTCAAACTCTAAAACTGCTTCTTCGTCGGTTTTGCATCTCCGAGAGTTTACTGGGGAGAGGAGTCTTGATGAGTTCAGCTGGGGGAGGAGGAGAAGGAAAAGGATGGAAGAATGTTCGAGAATTCCGATACTGGGGACAGTAACACACACACACACACATACACACACATACACAGTCAGCCAGTGATCCGGGTGGAATCAAAGGGTATTAGCTGTGCAGCGTTCACTTCCCCCTGTCCTTTCCCAGCATTCTCCACAGCTGTACGATTACACAGGTGTTTGGCAAAAACACACTTTCTGGACCGCAGAGGGCCTGAGTGTGTGTGTGTGTGTCTGTGTCTGTGTTTGTGTGTGTGGGAAAGAAATAAATATGCATGCGTGGTTTCATGTATTTAGCCTGTGTGCTAACACCGCTGCCTTCCAGGAATGGCTGTCCGTGTGTGTGCATATCTATATTTTGTGTATGTATGTGTATGTATGTGTGTGTGTGTGTATGCTTACTTATAATATTAATTTATCCGAATGATTCAGCCCTTCCACTTCCTTCTTGGCCACCATCGTACAGATATTTAACATTGACTCATTCTTGTCTTCTTTTCCTGTTCTATTAACGTTCTTGTTTCTATAGTGCGGCATTTGGAAACAGAAAAATCCTACGTGACATCGGTGGTCATTTTTGTGGACACCAGTCTGGACGTGTGCGTCTCAATCTTTGGTTCGTGGATTTTTTTTTGTAGGAAGAAGCTGGCACTATAACTACAGGAAATTGTTTTATTATTATTATTATTATTATTTTTAAAAAGGGCAAAACACCTGGAGACACCTGAGAAACGTAGCCCATTTTTTTTTATCAAACCAGTACTCAAACAGTGGGGCGGGCCCCTCTCGGGGGGGCGCAATGAGGTGCCAGAGGGCACGCCAGGGGCATAAGTGTACCACCGCTGTAATGCTTAAATGATAACAACCCTCCAGCCACTAGGTGGCAGCAACTCATACAGTGGTTTGTACAGATGAAAACATACATGTTATCATGTTTCTCAATAGTATTTCCGTTCGTGGGGATGTGAGTCCGATGGTGGGAGGACGGCGGGGCAGGACAGAAACTAATGGAGAACCACTGGTGTGACCTAATCATCGGCTCTGTGTGGGCCCTCGACCGTAGACCACATATGAAGATATATTGACCTTGTTATGTCTCTTGACTTCTTTATTATTTATTCTCCTTCTCCGTCCACTTTGGCTCATTATGTAACAACTTCTATCTTGTCAAGGCTGCTGTTCTGGGTTCTGTGTTTGCTTTGCGTGTGACACAGCGTGTGCCTGGTGTCAAAGCGTAACTGTGTGTTCCTGCTCTCTTTCAAGGTGAACGCTCTCAGACTAAACCAGGATGTGTTGGGGTTGGGGTTTTTTTTTTTTTTTTTGGTCTTATGTAACGTTTCCCTGAGTTCACAGGCTGATATTGTGAAGAGGAAGACAGGGGGACAGGGACGGACGTTTCGTTTAGGAGATGTCGCTTTCTAAGGTCGCACCGACTCATGGGTAGAAGACAACTGTACACGAGGCCGGTGCCTGTGCCTTGTGACTCACAGGAGGTCAAACTGAGAGGGGTCATCACTGTCAGTGACATGAATGGAGATTCAATGAAAACCCCATATTAAATAAAGGTTTACTGACAAACTTATTTTTAAGTATTATCTAAATCAAAACATGAATAGAATGAAACCTCACTGCTTCACTTGTTCAATCACCAGTCTTCCCTTAGTGGTTTTGAGAGGAAAAAAATCCCACAGGCCAATCCATCTGTGCTCTTTAAGGAAATCTTTATGGTTTAGTCGTGTAATGTGTTATTGGTTAAGTCGTAGCAATGAGTTGTTATGAGTTTAGATGGTGCCCTCTTGTGGCCTTAGATTATATAGGGGTCTTGGCCAAGTATTGCTGTTGTAGCTAACGTTAGCTCTGGTGTCTGTACCAGGACTGTTGTAGCTAACGTTAGCTCTGGTGTCTGTACCAGGACTGTTGTAGCTAACGTTAGCTCTGGTGTCTGTACCAGGACTGTTGTAGCTAATAGTAGCTCTGGTGTCTGTACCAGGACTGTTGTAGCTAACGTTAGCTCTGGTGTCTGTACGAGGACTGTTGTAGCTAATGTTAGCTCTAGTGTCTGTACCAGGACTGTTGTAGTTAATGTTAGCTCTGGTGTCTGTACCAGGACTGTTGTAGCTAATAGTAGCTCTGGTGTCTGTACCAGGACTGTTGTAGTTAACGTGAGCTCAAGTGTCTGTACCAGGACTGTTGTCGCTAACATTAGATCTGTTGCTCGTACAAGGACTGTCGTTGCTAAAGCTGTGGCAGTGGTTAGCATAATGTTAATCCTCCTCTGTAAGTCTGCTAAATGCATAAATGTAACGTTAGCCGTTGTGTCTGTAGCAGGAGTGTTGTACCCAAGCTGACATCGGGAACTCTCTGCTGAACTTAAATAATTAAACATCTTAATTTACTGTATTCACGTGGTTTTGTCTGTAATTGTTTTCTTAATATTAAAGTGTGATTGTGTCATTGTCATATTTGACCACGTCCCCTGCAGTACCACCGCAGATCCCCTATGGGTCATGTAGCCCAGTTTAGGACCTCTGTTCCAGAGTATGAGAAGAAGTAGAAAATATGATGTTGTTGTCATGTTACCACACAGCCTGAGCCTCTGTGCTTGTTGGTTCTCAGCCCAGGGGGGCCAGAACAGGTCAGTCAACTCTGACTCGGAGGTTTCTTCTAACCTCATGTAGACGCAGGTGTTCGGCGAACTGCACATTTGTTTAATTTTTAATGCCTTTCTGGAAGCCTGTTTTGTTCTTCGCGTCTCTGTGTGTCAGTGTGACTCATGTCAGGTTGCTCTGTTAGAACACTTTAGATCCAAATCTGTTCTTTCATTTGCATTTTGGGAATTTCCTGCTCTGGTCTCTGTGAATCTGTTGACTGTTTGTTGTTTTAAGGCGTTAAAAAAAAAAGAAAAAAAGAGAAAGAGATGAAGACAGATGTGGAACGTTCACTTTTCACTCCATGCAGTGTTTGTGTAACGGTTTTAACACTTCTCCGGGGCTACACACTTCTACTACACCACAAGAATACATGTCTACTACACCACCAGAATACATGAGTATGTGTACGTACGTGTGTGTGTGTGTGTGTGTATTCGCTTCCTTTTACTAGTTTCTGTGTTATTACTTTGTTACTAGTTTGTTTGAGAGCAAAGGTCTGTGAAGTGGCCGACAGGACCACTTCATACAGCAACAAATAAGCCTTTATGTCCTGCCTGCACCTGTGTGTGAGTGTGTGTGTGTGTGTTTTGCAGCTTTTTTTTCTACTTCAGAAAGAGAAGAGGAAAAAAAAAAGAACCTGCACATGCAGGGTGTAATTTGCAGAAATAGGCCAGTCATTTCATACCTGCAGGCTTTGCACAAATACACACACACACACACACACAAAGTAAAGTATCCCCTAAGATAATGGTTGAGGTGCTTTTGTGGTTTAAAGTATTGACCCTCTTGTGTTTAATGTTCATGTGACCACATGTGCACATGCGTGAACTTGTTTTATATTTATGTATGATTTTAAAATTGATGACAAGGTACGCACGTTTGGGTTAGGCATTAGATGGAATATTTTAATGGTAAATGGTAAAAGCTTCATGTATTACTGTACAAACGCAGACTCATATCTCGCATTAATTCCATCTTTGTGGCGTAGGTGGCGCTGTCTGCGGTGCCCCAGGAGCCATGGCAGTTGTGGAGCTCAGTCTTTTTTGGGATTCAAACCTGTGACCATCTGGTAACAAGCACAGCCTTTAACCAAAATGAGCTACAGCGTAGGCTGCTTGTAAAGTAATAATATATAAAAAATATTACATGAAAACAGTAAAACTACCTGTCTTCTTAAAACTGTTAAAGCAAAATAAATATCAAAATTGTTGTTCATAAAAACATGTTTTAGCATTGAAAATTTTATTTTCTATATATATATATATAATACTTAGCTAACCAAAATAGCGTAGTGTAAACTGATAGCTAAAAATAGCAACTTCACGACGATAAAAAACAATACGAGAGCTACGACCTAAACCATAAATACCGTTGTGTTCCACAAAAGGCTCGAATGTACCTAAAAGTAGAACAATAATTGCTGAAACACAACCTGAAGGAACAAAAAATTGTAATTCCGACTAAAAACAACAAAGTTTTATACTGCTAAATGCTACATATTAGCGTGTAGGCTTCCCTAAAATCCCCCACTAAAACATCCATAGTTAGACGAAAGAGAAAGAGCTAAAAGCTCATCTTAAAGAGCCAACAGTAGACCCTGGTTAGTAACGCTACTAACTATAGTTTAAATATGCCCAATAAGTTTTTAAAAAATGTGTCAGAAAGTGCTTCAAAAGCCACACGAATGCTAAATTAGCTCAATTAACCCAAATCGGATTAGCCAATCGGAGACCAGGGCGGGTAATCAACACAAATCAGGAATTGTCTTGTTGGAAATTTTTTTTTTTTCTTCCTCTTCTTCCAGAGTTGATGTCAGACTTCCTGCTCCTCTTCCACCTCCCCCTGAAGCAGCAGCAGCAGCAGCAGCAGCAGTGTAAAGCTAGGTGGCCACAGCAGCACATTTATCTCATCCCCGTGCCCACGCACGCACACCCGTGGACGCGCAGAGAGGCGCACATGGGAACCTGGCTGTGCTGCGTTTAAACCGGGGAATCTTGAGCGGCCGCAGCCGAAAGGAGGACACCGAGAGCCGGCAGCAGGAGCAGCGGAGCTCCCCCAACTGCTCCTTTTCCCCCCCCCCCCCGTGAGCTGCACGCCGATACATTCCCGAGCTCATCTCTCTCTCTCTCTCTCTCTCTCTTTTTCCTCCTCTTTTCCCACCTCCCTGTTTCTGCCTGTCCCTCTGTGTTTTTCGAAGACGCGGCGTGTTGTTTGGCTGTGTGCGTCCTGACGCGCACGGCGCTCTCTCTCGGACTTGTTTGGCACGGACTTAGAGGCGAGAAAACACGCAGAAAGGAGGACAAGCGGAAAAGAAAGAAAGAAGAAGAAGAACCCTCTCCCCCCCCCTGTCCTGACCTCCTCCTGTAGCCTCCTCCACCCTCTGCTCCACCAACACTACCTTCTTTCTCCTTTCTTTTGATTTCCTGTCATTTTTTTTTTTTTTTTCTGATTTCCTGCAGCCGAACCAGGAACCAGAGGAGCGAAGGGGAGAAGGATGAAGACAAACTCAATCTGACTCTTGGGGGGTTTTAATCTGGATTAATTTGACTCTTGAGGAGAAGAAGAAGAAGAAGAAGGAAAAAAAGGAAGAAGAAGAAGACGAAGAAAGATCTGTTGGGAGCTGCGCGTAAAAAGCCGAGGTGTTCCTCCTCTTCCTCCTCCTCCTTCTTTCTCCTCCTCTTTCCTCCTCTCCCCTCTACCTCTCCTCTTCTACCCATCTTCTTCTCCGTTTCCCCATGTTCTAGGTCCGTGGGATTTTTGTTATTTTTTTTATTTTTTTTTATATATATGTATTTTTGGGGCTAAAATGCATCACCAGCAGCGGATGGCAGCTCTGGGAACAGACAAGGAGCTGAGTGACTTACTGGATTTCAGCGCGGTAAGACTCTCTCTCTCTGTGTGTGTGTGTGTGTGTGTTTGACCGTGTGTGTTTAACCTGACGTTAATGATGATGATGATGATGATGATGAAAGTAGCCTGCAGTGTTTATATACATTTTCAATACATTTTTCGTGTACTGTATGTGACGCACACCAACGCCATTTCCCACACACTTTTGCGCACGAGTTGCGCGTTTAAATGTAGAGAGGAAAAAAACAAAAAAACAAAAAAACC